CTCCTCTCCTCCTCTTCTCCTCCTCCTCCTCCTCTCCTCCTCTTCTCCTCCTCTTCCGCCTCCTCCTCCTCTCCTCCTCCTCTCGTCTTCCTCCTCTTCCTCCTCCTCCTCTTCCTCCTCCTCCTCTCCTCTTCCTCCTCCTCCTCTTCTCCTCTTCCTCTTCCTCCTCCTCTTCTCCTCTTCCTCCTCCTCTCTTCCTCTTCCTCCTCCTCTCCTCCTCTTCCTCCTCCTCTTCTCCTCTTCCTCTTCCTCCTCTTCATCTTCCTCCTCTTCCTCCTCTTCTCTTCCTCCTCCTCTTCTCTTCCTCCTCCTCCTCTCCTCCTCTTCTCCTCTTCTCCTCCTCCTCCTCCTCTTCATCTTCTCCTCCTCCCTCTCCTCCTCCTCTTCTCCTCCTCCTCCTCCCTGCAAACCCCTCTCCCTTCTAGCACTGACTATATTACCTAGTTTGGTCATGAAACACCTGCAAAGAAAACCACCAAGCTCAGAGAGTTCCTAACTCCTGGACGCTTCTCAACTCCGTCGGGGACGTTAAACACAACACACACCCCCGGGACCTTTTCGTGAGCTTTCCCGTGAGTTTTGGGCCTCCTCTTTCCTCCTCCAGGAATGTCTTATTTTCAGAAGAGGAAATAAAACAGCCAAGATGGTGAAACCACAACTAGCAAACTTCACTGCGGCCGAAGGCTCCGACTCGCTCCGGTGTGTCCCGCCAATCCAGAAGAGACGATTTTGCTCCGAGAACCAAGTCGGTGAAGTTCCTGCTTGTGAGTGAGAAAAGAGAGAAAGGCAGAAAACAAAACAAAACAAAACGGAAAAAAAAAACAACCCAACCACCAGGGGGGGAAAAAAATAATAATTAAAAAAAAAAAGAGGAAATCCGAGCGCCATTTAACCTGCGACTGCCGGGGGAAGAGGGGGGGGGGAAAAGGGGGAAGGACTGCTTTCCGGATGGACTGGCTTTGGGGAAAGAAAAAAAGAAGGGGGAAAAAAAAGTGAAAATGAAACAGAAAAAAAAAAAGAGGAAAACAATGATAACCGTAATAATAATAATTAAAAAAAAAGTTTTTAAAAAAATCCCACCCAAAACGCGGAAACCATCCATAGCTGATTTGCTAGGCAGCAAGATTTGTTTTAAAAAAATAAAAAATAAAATTTAAAATTAAAAAAAACAAACGAGGAATGGGGCAGGTGGGGGAAGAAACGAGAGAAAGAAAAATAATTTCTGTGAAATGAGAAATAAATTTCCTTCAACCATTCGTGGGCAGNTTTTTTTTTTCTTGTTTTTTCATTGTTGTGTGTATGTGTTGTCTATGTAATAAAAATTAAAAAAATTAAAAAGAAATGTTCAAAACTTTTGTTTTCAGAGAACTGGCTTATCATTTAAAGAGGTCATCTTTTGAGTTAGCCATTTCTTCAATCTCCCATGAAACGAAGAAATGTATTTGGGGACTAAGCATTGAAAGTCTTAAATGTGCTGGAATATCAACATATTGTTCAAGCAACCGCTTATCCCTTTAATAAGAGTGATAAATTTTAGAAATAGCCACAGAAGCAGCTGACACATCCTGATGATTATAGTTCTTCAGGCAGAAACAATCTCAGAAGTTGTGCCTCTAGATCTCTCAAAGACGGTTAGCGGTTTTTATTCTCCGTATAAATAAAAGGCATGCAGAAATTGAGAAATGAAATAAAATTGTATTTATTAAGAAGCCTGTCCCTTGGGATGTGGATAATGCTTCCAATTACCCTTGGAGAAGCAGATAGATTTTCTTCCCTTTTCTCAATTCTCTGCAGAGATAGTTTAATATAAGTGATCATCCTCTCTTTAGAAAAAGCGTAGAATGAACTGCCGAAGGAAACAAATAGTCAAAACCCCGGGGTGACATGGCAGAAAAACAAAGTTAGATAGTTTCATCTTCAACATAATGCCATGATGATAATTCAATATTTTTATCCTTGTGAGATTGATCGTTTCTTAAACCTGTATTTCTTCTAGGCAAGCTGTCATTTGCTGCAGATAATTCTATGTACATCAACAGATTTCATCAAGAATTATATAGTCCTAAACCAAATTATACCACCATAAAGTATTGTGGGAAGAAAGATGGCTTGGGATACTGTGGTCTTGGTTTCAATTTCTTGATATTTTAGTTTCAGATAATTCATAATTCGTCATTTGTAATTTAATGAGCTTATATGCCGCCCAATCCCGTAGGACTCCGGGCGGCTTACAAATACGAGATAAAATAAAAATAACAAATAGGGGAGAGAAACGAAAACAATTTAAAAAACACAACATACGGCTTAGCTGGGGGTTGGACCTGGTTTATAGATCAACAACCCCCAGGCCTACCGAAACAGCCAGGTTTTGGTGGCTTTTGGGAAGGCTGCGAGAGTGGGGAGGGTCCGGATCTCAGCAGGCAGATCGTTCCACAGAGCCGGAGCAGCTACAGAAAAGGCTCTCCCCCGAGTGGTCGCCAGCCGGCATTGTCCGGTCGACGGCACCGAGAGGAGGCCTAGCGGTGGGATTCAGCCAGTTCGCACCTATTAGAACTGGTTGTTAACTTTCTAAGCAGTTTGGAGAACCAGTTGTTGGAAGAAATCTCCTTTTGTTTCTTTCCACTTTACAGGGAAAGCAGGAAGGAAACATCCTGGTGTTGTTTCTAGCTAATCTTTGTTGCCCTGCTTACAGAAACTGCCTCTCTGGTTAACCCTTATGACATTGCAACAGCTAA